CGGAAATCAATTGGAAATTTGGCCTGTTTACTCACCGGACAAAAAGAACTGCTATGTGACCTTGAGAAATTTGAAGTTGAGATTGTTTTACGAGAACAAGGTGGAACATTGGCTGCTATTTCTACTCAACCGGCACTTATTGAGGAAATTAAAGAGAAACAACACCAAGATGACTTTCTGAGAAAGGTCATGGATGAATAGGAATCTAAACCAAGGCCAGACTTTAAATTTGAAAACAATGTATTGAAATTTCAGGGAAGGTTGTGTGTACCAAATGAATCTAAACTGAAAAGGCAAATTTTGCAAGAATGCCACAATTCAAAACTTTCCATCCATCCAGGAAATACAAAAATGTACCAAGACTTTAAACTTAATTTCTGGTGGCCGGGAATGAAGAAAGAAATTGCCGAATTTGTGTCAAAGTGCCTACATTGCCAACAAGTCAAAGCCGAACATCAACGACCCGTAGGCTTACTTCAGCCTTTACCAATACCGGAGTGAAAATGGGAACATATCATTATGGACTTCATTGTCGGGTTACCTCGCTCCAGTAAAGGTATGGATTCAATTTGGGTTATTGTTGATAGATTGACTAAATCTGCTCACTTCTTACATGTCAAGACAATTTACAATTCAGACAAATTAGCTACATTTATATTGATGCGATTGTCAGACTGCATGGAGTGCCTGTGTCCATTCTTTCTGATAGGGACTCGAAGTTTACATCGAGATTCTGGCAAAGTCTGCAGACAGCATTGGGTACCGAACTAAGACTGAGTAGTACATACCATCCTCAGACAGATGGCCAATCAGAAAGAACCATCCAGACTCTGGAAGACTTACTGCGTATGTGTGTTCTTGATTTCCAAGGAAATTGGGAAAGTCATTTACCGTTAGCTGAATTCGCCTACAACAACAGTTTTCACTCGAGCATTAGTATGGCGTCTTTCGAGGCTTTATATGGCAGAAAATGCCGATCTCCTATTTGCTGGGCAGAAGTTGGAGACGGGCCTTTGCTTGGGCCCGAGATTGTACACGAGACCACAGAAAAGGTGAAACTGATTCAACAAAGATTGAAAACCTCACAAAGCCGACAGAAAAGTTATGCGAATGTCAGAAGGCGATACAGGGAATATGAAGTGGGTGATCATGTTTTTGTTAAAGTGACACCAATAAAAGGACAGACTCGTTTTGAAGTCAAGGATAAGCTAGCGTCGAGATATGTTGGGTCGTATGTAATCATTGAAAAGATTAATCCGGTGGCGTATCAAGTAGCGTTTCCTCCTGAAATGGAGCATATGCATAATGTCTTACATATTTCAATATTGAGGGATTATCTTCGGGATCCCTTCCATGTTATTGAGCCTACCCGTGTAGTGCTAAGTGATGACTACACTTATGAAGAACGACCTATTCAGATTGTAAATCGACGAATCAAGAAGTTGAGAAAAAAAGAAATCCCATTAGTGAAAGTGGATTGGCAAAACCGTAGTGGCGTTTATGCAACTTGGGAAAGGGAAGACGATATGATGAAAAGATATCCTAAATTGTTCCCCCTGAATCTGGTGTTCTTCCAAAATGAAGGTAATCCAAGTTTGGAGGACCAAACTCTTTTAAGGAGGGAAAACTGTGATAACCCTCACCTCTGATTAGTGTTAAACTGTGATTGAGCATGATAAGTAATTGATTAGAATGAAATCCTAATCTGTTTGCCATTAAATGATTTGTTCCTGTTTTGATTTCGAACTGCGAATTGGAAGCCTTATCGGCGACCGAATCAGAAATTGATTAGTGTTTTATGCCAGTTAGAATTTATGTGATTTTATGGTAGGTTTAATTAAAATTTGATTTTGAATGATTAAATTAGCATTATTAATGTTAAATTACATCAACTTGAATTATTTACATTTTTGCCACTAGTGGGCACTTTAGGCCATTAATTGATTTTATATCATTTTGATGCATCATCTTCATCCATTTGGAGACCAAAAACCATGAGAGAGAGTGAGTTGGGAGAATTTGTGTTCAACAAGAAAATTGGCTTGGAGAATTAGAAGAATTGAAGGGAATTTGCATATTTGGGCTTCCATACTTAGAATCCTAGACCTAAGGTAGGAAATTCATCTTCTTAATTATGAATTTAAGCTGTACTTGCATGATTCATGGGAAAATTGGGGTATAGAGTCAAGAATTAATTTAAAGTGTTGTTTTGAGAGTAGTTTCATGCGTGAATGTTCATATCACAGTATTTGGAAGTTGTTTTTCATGAAACCCTTACATGCATGTCCATATTTTGGTTATAGTCCATGAATTCACCATGTCTCTCTATCAAATTGCCATTTTAATCTTGGTTTGATGTGTTGGAATTCAAGGGAGATCTTGCATGTTGCATTTAAATTTTATTCTTGAAGTTTCTTTGAAATTGGTGTTCAATTGGCTTACCTTTGGGCTTGATTTTACAAATTGATCTTCAAAAAATGTTGTAGCATGAGTTTCCAAGTGTTTTCCAAAAAATTGGCCCAAGAGAGTGAGTTTTGATGTGATGAATGCTTGGTTTGAGCTTTGGTGGCAAATCTGGAAAACCCAGAATTTGGCTTCCTCGCTCGAGCGAAAGATTCCACGCTCGAGCGAGCACCTTTGTTTTCTGAATTCCGCTCGAGCGACGGAATGCTGGCTCGAGTGTAGATTGCAAGCTCTCAGATTTTTGTGGACGCAGACGCAAGCTCGAGCGACGAGACCTGCACTTGAGCGAAGCTCTATGTCTCACGCTCGAGCGAGCATCGAGCGGAGATTTTTAACAACCAGTACTTTTGCATTTTTACAGACCGCTCGAGCGAAGGAGTTTACGCTCGAGCAACCCCTCTGTTTTGGCAAGCTCGCTCGAGTGAGACCCCTGTTTTCAGCAAATTTTGAAAAGTGTTTTAAATTACATTTTTACATCCTCATTCCATCCTAGGCATTCCTAGGCCAAGTTAAGACATCTTAATGAAGATAATGTTATAGAACCACACCAAGTCAAGTTAAGGGGCTATGTCATTAATTCCAAGTGTGTAATTTAGTGTGTGTTTGTTCTGCAACAGTGTAGGGTTGGCACCCGAGGACGCTGACTAGCTTGTCTATAGCCCATCATTCTGTGAGTAACAATGTTGTAAAGATATATTCAATTATGATTATTTTCTGAATGATCGACTGTACTGTTTCTTGAAATGACATTGTTTACTGAATAAATGTTTATCTTATTTGTAAACTGTACTCGTGGCATCCATAGCAACTTAATGTTACTGTTACTGCTACCGTTACAGAGATCTCTGTCAGTTCCAATGTTTGGAACACCACTGTTTACTGTTATGATGGCCATCAACTGACTGTTCGGTCTGTTAAGACCTACTGTACTATTTTGCTATTGGATGTACCACATATGACTACTATGGTTGCTAAATAACTGTTATGGCATGTAATGAGCCACTGATCGAATAACTGATTCACTGATGCAATTGATTGTTTTAATTACCGAAAGGACATTCATTCTTAACCCCTTTACGCATTTGTTATTCACTGGGTTTTAGCTCACTGTTATATTTATATGTAGGTGTCTAGGCACCGGACCGAGGCTAGGAGCGTCGAGTTAAGCTCCCGTTTTGTCAAGCCAACCTTTGTGCCTCACTTCGAGGTTCCAAGTATGTTCAAGCTAAGGCTGCTTCTGGGGTGTCTCAGTTTCACCCTTCTGTCTCTGTTTTGTAATAAGTGTTTAAGACTTGACTATACAATTAGCTAGGGATTTGGTTCCTAATCTGGATGTTTGTGTTTATGACGCATGTATATATGTTTTGGTTATGAATATGGCTTGTTTATAAAAGTCTTTTTGCATTCAGTTTGTCACAGCTCATTGGACATCTTTCATTTACTGTTTAGCTTCCGCCAGCCCCTTACTCTGTACTACTGTCATTACTGTTAAGCAGGCCTTCAGTAATCACAAATTACTAGCCGGTTGCGATGCTAAACCCATAGGGGCGGGTTTGGGTCGTGACAATTTCTTTATAAATGTTTTATTTTTAAAATTAATTTAATCAAATATATATAAAAAATTAATTAAAATATAAAAAATAACAAAATTATAAAAAAAATGTTTTTAAAAGAACAAAACCAAAACAGATAGTCTCTTTCATCAAAAAATAAAAAAAAAACATAACAAAATTAAAATATATATATATATATACATATATTTTTAAAAAATCAAAATCAAAACTGATGTAGAGCTTGGTTGGAAGGTTGAGGCTCTATTTGGTGAAGCTCTGGATAGTTCCAGAGCTCGATTTGAGTATAGTGTTTGTTTAGGATTTTCAAAAATTAATTCCATACTCAGTTTTGAAAACGTGGTCGAAGGCGGGAGAATTTATGCTAACTGATCGTTTGCCTCTCAATTTTATTTTTATTTTTTTTGCAATTGAGACATGTTAATTTATATATTCAATAAAAAATATTTTTCAAAATTTTTAAAATTTTTTATGAGCTTTAATAGAATTTTGAGTTGTAAGTTTTTATATCAAATATTATATGTCACATCAAAAATTTTTCACTCAATTCAAAACTCTTTTCAAAACTCATTTTAAAACTCATTCACCAAACAAATTTTCCACACTCAAATTATAATTTCAAAACTCACAAATTTAAAATACAATTCTATTCTCAAATCATATTTAAAAAACTTTATCAAACGCAACTTGACTATTTTTATTGACTTTTTATTAGTTTTTTTTATGATTATTTTAGCTCAATTAAAAAAAATTATATTTGAAAAAAATTAATTTTTTATAATTGATTTGATAATTAAAAAAATAAAATATTACAATTTAAATATGACATTTTATTTTATTAATAATTTTAATTTATTTTATCTTTACTATTTTTTTTTGCAAGGTCATTGTATCTTTCATCCAAAAATAAAAAATTAAAAAAAAAATACTAGTTGGGACAGACACCCATTTATTTGTGTAGGAGCAGCATATCCTCCTTTCCTCTCCTTATAAGTTGAGTGCTCATCACACACCATCTCCACACTACTACACTTGTCTCTGACAAATATATCTAGAGAGAGAAAGCAAGAGAGAGGGAGAGAAATGGCGAAAGTAGGGAGAATGAAGCTAGGATCACAAGGTCTAGAGGTGTCGAGACAGGGACTGGGGTGCATGGGGATGTCAGCCTTCTACGGGCCTCCAAAGCCCGAAGAAGACATGATCAAACTCATCCACCACTCCATCAACTCCGGCGTCACTTTCCTTGACACCTCCGACATGTACGGCCCTCACACCAACGAAACCCTCCTCGGCAAGGTCGGCCCTATTATTAATTCAATTTCCTACTCTTTGATTTCTATTCATAACAAATGCTGGAATTGATCTTGATCCTGATCTTAATCTTGATTTTGATTTTGATTTTGATTTTGATGAGCAGGCACTCAAGGGAGGGATGAGAGACAATGTTGAATTGGCTTCGAAATTCGGGATCATCTATGCTGACGGGAAGACAGAGATTCGAGGTGATCCGGGATACGTACGGGCAGCTTGTGAGGCGAGCTTGAAGAGGCTGGACATGGATTGCATCGATCTCTATTACCAGCATCGGATTGACGCCCGCGTCCCCATTGAAATCACGGTTCAACCCCCCTTCTCTCTCTCTCTCTCATTTGAACATTTTGTCTGTATTGGTTTTAATTTTTTTAATTTAATTTTTTGAAAATTAATATTTTATGTTTTTTTTAATTTTTAATGAATGTTTTTAAAATTTTAAGTAATTTTTTTGATGATATATTAAAAAATAAAATATTTATAAAAAAAAATAATAACATAAAAATATAAAAAATGTATTGAATCTTTTTCTTTTAATATTTTTGATATTTAATGAATTTTTTAAAAAAAATTCTCACAAATATTATATTTTTAAATATATTTATGTTAAGTATATTTAAAAATTTGTTAGAATATTAAAAAAAATTCTCACAAATATTATATTTTTAAAATTCTCACTAATTTTACATAATCTTTTTCATGTATACAACTACTAATTTGTAATAAATTTCACATATTAAACTTCTTTTACATTTATTTTTACTTTGATGTTTCATTATAGGTTAAAAAATATATATGTATTAATTATAGCGGAGTGTAACGGTTTCAAAGGCAGTTTATAAATTTTAAAATTTAAACCGCGGTTAGCAGATAGAACGATACTGATTAATGCGGTGTGATTTTAGCGAATTGGGCAGCATTTTGTACCGCTCTCTCTCTCTATATATACATAATTTGTAATCTTTTACTTTTGCAATCTGTTTTTTATAGTGGTATAACTAGTTTTGTAAGTCATAGGTTATGAATAATATTTTGTGAAGGGAAACACTATGGTACATCCTGTGTATCATATGCATAACTTTAAAATATATGCGTCATAATTAAAAAAAAAGTCATAATTAACACAATATGGAGCATAACTAAAGAAGAAAATTGGTTATAATTAAAGAAGAAAATGGCATAACTAGTGTGCATATGATACACTTCTTTCCAAGGCATGTATATTACAATTTTCCTTCTGTGAATGATGATAAAGTTTTTAAGAATCGTAGTTTTAGAGCGAACCGAACCAAACCAAACCACGGTTTAATTGCTCGGTCTCTTTTGTTTGCAAGATTTTCATAATTTAGTTTGGTTGTTTGGCATATGGTTTTTTTTGGCTAAAATAGCCAAGAAATCAAAATACCCAATCACATCTCTCTAAGTTTTATAAGTTTTTTTCCGAAAAAAGTGAAAAAAACAACTGAAATATTCAATTTCTAAACAAGCTCTATGTAATAGTTCAGTTTGGTTTCCTCCCAAACTAAACCAATCCAAATTATGCTCATCCCTAGTGTCTCTCATGAAGTGTGTATGTAGAAACAATCTGAAAATCTTAAGTGATTCGTGATTAGATCAAGATTAAAATATTTCAATTCCCAATTATTCAAAAACATACAATTTAAATCATCAAGCACTTACGAAAGTGATTTAGATTGCTGTTTTCGAAATAAACAATAAATCGACATAAACGATTTTTACGTGGAAAAATCACAATTGAAGAACCTTCAAATGTAATGAAATACCTCAGGCGAAGCGCCACTAATCAATCCACTACTGAAGAAAGAAATATTACAAAGATAACACACAAATTACCCAACTCAGTCAATTTGTCTTCAAACCTTCTATAACTCTTTCACCATGCCTTCGTCTCGGAACTGACTAATCTGAAGTTGAATCCACAACTTCACTTGTCGAATCAACGACTACGTACAGAATCAAACTCCTTTGAAACTCCATGTTTGAATCTTCGGAATCCACCAAACAATAGCACTCTTGTATGTATTCAATCAACCTCCTTGATATGTGCTTGTCAATTCACGAGTTTAATACTCACTCAATTTATCAAGGAAAAAACTCGCAAAAATATTCCAGAGGAAAACCTTAGAAAACCTCAAAGTGGATTTGAAAACCTAATCCTAGTTTAGGAGTAAAACAACTACTTATAGAAATCCTGGACTGTGAAGCTCGCTCGAGCGAAGCTTCTCTCGCTCGAGCGAGGAACTTAACTCGTGTGATTTCCATAAGTGGCTTCGCTCGAGCCACGCATCCTGCGCTCGAGCGAACAATAAACTCTTTCAGGTTTTTATGCAGACGCACTTCTTCGCTCGAGCGCACATTCATCTCTTTCAGGCTTTTAGCCAGACGCAGTCTTCGCTCGAGCGAGGACTCCTTCGCTCGAGCGAGCAAGACAAAACAGCACAGAAATTTACAACTCAATCACACAAGTTTGTTCGCGGGATTGACAAGACTCAGGGACCTAACAATCTCCCCCTTTGTCAATACCCGGACAAAACTTTCTAACACAATTTCCTAAACTCATGTACTAGCTAAAACAATTACAACTCAAAGAAAAACAACTATGAAACCAATCTTGATGTGAAAAGAATCTGCATAAAATAAACATAGAGAGAATAGTTATTCAAAACAAGAAATCATCAAGAAAACAAAACAAACAAAAGCCCATTATCAATATCTAACAACTATAGATGCAATGTAACAATAAACATATCCAAGTGCTGCCTGCAAAAACATCATGAGTATCCCATATACATATATACCCCATGAGTATCCCAAACATGTATACCCCATATACCCCAAAAATCATATTCCCCCTTTTTGTCCGGGAGTGACCTAAAACAGTCATATACACCAGAATAAAAACTATCCAAGTAAATAACAACAACTGTCCAAAGAAGCATAGACCAAAAACTAGGAATGAGAGGAAGATGGCTGCTGCAACTGAAGTATGGAAAGAATCTGAGCAAGCATGGTACTCTGCTCATCAAGTCGGCTGTCAAGTGTATCGAGGCGGGCATCCAACTGATCAAGGCGATGAGTGACTGACTGCTCAAACTGCTGCAGCTGCCCACAGAATGACCGAGGACGCATCTCAGGCAGATCAGGTGCACCAGCAGTGGCTGCATCAAACTCCTCCTCCTCCGCAAGGGGATCATCACCTGTACCAGACAAACCAACTCCCGACACCCCACCCCCGTACATGGGCTTGACTCTGGGAGACTGTTAATTTGGTGATAGGTTTAATAGGATGGGCAAACTCATCATTATCATAGACAGGAACACCAAGGGAAGTGAGAAAACGAGTGAGCAAACACCCATATGGAAGCCCTAAAAACTTTCTACCCTCAAAGACCCCAATCATTTTGGAAACTATCATCTTGGAAAGATCAATGGGAAGTCTGTGATGGATGCAATACAACACATAACCCTGATCCTGGGTAATGTGAGAGGAATGGGTTGTGACATGAAGATTAGCACACACAATGATATTCAGAAGACGAAACCTAAGAAGCAACTCATTTTGCTGAATGAGTGCCCCGGCAAGCCAAGTCCGGTCAACACCACAAAGTTTAGACGCAATCCGATCAAAATCGACACCGGTCCGAGTAAGGAAATCGAAATGAAAATCACCGACTTCGGGAAGATCAAGAAACATTCGAAAAACATCCCCAGTGATAACGAGAGACTTCTTCCTAACCCAAGTGGTAAAGGATGCCGGAATTTCTTTGCGAATGGAATGGATATTGCAATAAAATTCACGGATAAGACTCAGATTTTGTGGCCCCGAAAAATGTAACACTTGATCACCGCCTAATGAATAGAATAAGGAACGAATGGTGAGTACCTCAAAAGCATCAGGGAGGACATTTCTCTCTAAATAGACTTTACGAGTGACATAAGACTCCCTAAACAGCTTAGACTTTTCTTTGGACTCGAATTTGTCAGTGTTGAATGAAGGACGGGAAACAGTAGCCTCGCGATGTTCAGAGGACTCAGCCATGACTAAACAACCCATAACCCACAACACAAGACACCCAAAGGAAATATTAGAAATCCCAAAATCCAAACAAAAGAGCCCAAAAATACGAACATTAGTAGTCCATTAGTGAAAACTAAACAAAATGCATAATACAAAAGGTATGACTAAACAAAGCAAACAATCACAGATGGAAGAATGAAGGAAAGACAGTAACAGTAGAATCAATATCCAGACAAATCAAAGAGACCATCAATATGCAACACAGGACAATATATATAAAACATAATGAAAAGCCCCAAATTAAACCCTAGCAGTGATAAACTAGTAAAATGCTCCAAAATACAAACCCTAGATGCAAGAGAGAGATACAAAACCAGTATGGAAGAACCAAAATCACAAATGAAGAGCCCTAAATTAAAACATAGCAGACTCACAGACACAACAAAACCCAAGCACCACACAAACAGAAGAAAAAAAAACAAAGGAAAAGAAAAAAGAACTTACCAAAAAAAAACAATGCCGGATAGGGGAAGAGTAGAACCTCCAAACACGAGCAAAAAACCAAGGAAGGAACATGAATGGAAGGGAAATCGCCCACGGAAGTGAAAGAGACAACACTTGAAGTAAAGAGGGCAAAAAATGAAGCGAAGAGACGCAGTAGCAGTATTTAAACCTCGATAGGTCGCTCAAGCGAAGACTCTCTCGCTCGAGCGAGGACAATTATGCACAAGGGGTCGTTCGAGCCAAGAACTTGTCGCTTGAGCAAAAAATGCACGCTTTCAGGTCTAACTCAGTAGCAGAAGCACGCTCGAGCAAAGCAGTTTTTTTTTTTTTTTTTGATATTTAAAAACAAAAAAACAAGATACTCAATATCATGAAGCGAGACCGGAAACACGAGTAAATGATCAAATTTAGCCAAAAATGATAGTAAGATGAAATAATCTATAAACCATGAAACTTGCAGACTTGCAATTGACAATATGACACTTGTGATCATGAGCAAAGTAGATAAAATATAATCAATGATCATAAGCTTCATGAGAATGTACAACTCAAAAATCAACATGAGAGCTCACAAAATGAAAGTGTGTGTGTGCAGTCCTTGAGAGGCCACTGAGCTAGAGTTAATCCTCGTAGTGATCGGATGGCTGGACCTCTACCAAGAGTAACTAAACATTACAGAGAAAAGTCAAACCACTAGGAATCACGGGGTATTTGTTGAGTAAAAGCGAAGGCTCTCCCTCAATCAATGATTCCTTTTTCTTTTT